CTATGATTCTATGATTCTATGATTCTATGATTCTATACTGAATTTCATTCAATTTCTCCTTGCCCAGCTCTCCAGCCTGTCCAGGTCCACCAGGATACCTGCACAGCCTTCTGGTGTGTCAGCCACTCCTCCCAGTTTGGTATCATCAGCAAACTTGCTGACAGTGCACTCTGTTCCCTCATTCAGGTCATTGATGAATATATTGAATAGCACTGGGCCCAGTACTGACCCCTGGGGGACTCCACTAAATACAGGCCTCCAACTAGACTCCACCCCACCGACCATGACCCTCTGAGCTCTGTTGTTTAACCAGTTCTCAATCCATCTCACGGTCAGCTCATCCAATCCATACTACCTGAGCTTCACAATAAGGATATTGTGGGAGACAGTGTCAAAAGCCTTGCTGAAGTCAAGGTAAACCACATCAATTGCTCTCCCTTCAACTATCCAACTAGTCACACTGTCATAGAAGTCTATCAGATTAGTCAAACAGAATTTTCCCTTTGTGAACCATTTAACCAATTGGTTAACCATTTAAACTCCCCTTAAGTAATGGTTAAATACTTATGACGCAGAGTTCCTTTCTGTTCAAATCAGCCTCACTAGCAGGCCATGTAACACTTGACAGATCTTGTAGTTCAACTTGTATTGAACTCAAAAGGAGTTGCTTAGTTGAGTTTACAGATACTGCTGGGTAAAAAAGATGGAATTTCATCTGGATGTGTGGACTGGTTATAACATGATCACTTTCTCTTCAAGATAACCCTTTCTTTCTCTCTACATCCCTATGGTTTGTTATATTCAAAGTTAGTCCATGGGAGGTTTTTCAAAGCTGACTAGAGGAAGTTTACACTGGACATTAGGAAGCTTTTCTTTACTGAGAGAGTGATCAAACACTGGAACAGGCTTCCTAGAGAGGTGGTTGATGCCCCAAGCCTGTTGGTGTTTAAGAGGCTTTTGGACAATGCCATTAACAAGATGCTTTAACTTTTGGTCAGCCCTGAACTTGTCAGGCAGTTGTACTAGAGGATCATTGTAGGTCCCATTCCAACTGAAAAATTCTATTCTATTCTATTCTATTCTATTCTATTCTATTCTATTCTATTCTATTCTATTCTACTCTATTCTATTCTATTCTATTCTATTCTATTCTATTCTATTCTATTCAAGACTTATCATCACATGTGCTAAAGAATGGTCCAGTCCTTACAGGCAGTGTTTAGAAAAGATACATGCTGGAATTTATGTCATAAATGGAAGAGTGGGACAGTTCAGGGCTCACCCAGAGCTAACCAGTGACAGGAGAAACTTCACTATGTATCTCATAGGCTGTAGCTGAAATATATCCACTGTATGCCAAGGAATTTTGGGATGCACATCACAGCCTGTAGTTTGATTAAAGTTTCATTGGTTGAACATTGCAAACTACTAACATGGGAAAGACCTTAAGCACACAACTGACTGATGAGTAAGAAGCAAGAATTCTGGCCTTGCTGATGCTGGTGGTAAAAACCACCCAAATTAGTAATAAATCAGAACTTGTAAACAATACCACTCACCCAGTGGCTACTTCGCATGAGGCTGTCTTTAACACAGATTTTACAGACCTTACAGACGCTTCTGAGTCAGACTGAGTTTGTTACAAAGTCACCTTGCGATAATTTCTATCATCATGCTATTCTAGAAAGTATTCTGCATAGGGAAATGACTTATTAGAGTGAATCATTGAAGATAGGTAAGATATTAGATCAAAACCCCATATAATGGGACTTAAAAATCTTACTCACTCTCAATTGTGGCTAGCTGTAAACAGAGTTCTTTTGAACAAACTTTGTTCCAAGCTATAGGCTAAATTAATCCAGGTTTTATCTACATTTTAAGGGTGGGAACCCAAGAGAAGCACACAATTTGTATAGCATAGAGAAAATTTAGAATCAGAGCCTACAAAACAAGTGTGTAGACCCAGACCCCAGTCAATCAAATCCTGCCAACGAACATGAGCAACAAAAAAAGCATTATGACATATTATTCTTACATTATCCTAAATGCGCCCACTTTGGAATCACTTAATTCACTTAAGAATATGGAAATCTCTGGCAATCCAATCAGCATCACATGATTTCTGGAGCTCCCTGCTGTCAGCTACGGTGTATGTAAGATGAGATCAACTACTTCATTAGGAAATTTTTAGCATTCTAGTTACTATAGGAAGGAAGAAAGATGGCTGGATGAATAGAAGGGAAAATACATGAGAAAATACATAATGCATAGAAAGACAAATTCCTACAGCTGCATGCAAAGGCATTCATTAGATGTATTTCATATGCCAATCTTCCATTCCCTTACACTAAATTGCAATAAAAACTGTCATCAAACAACTCCATTGTCCCTAAAAATGCTTTGAATTTAGCAACAGAAAGCTTATTCAAGCTTACTACCATCACCTACTGATAGAGGGAACAGGTCACTTGATTTCTTGATTATTGTATTTAAATTTAATTTATTTAAAGTTAATCCATACTTATTATTTATTTCATAATGGTGATCAGCTGTCATCCTCTGGCACATCTCGTCACTGAAAAGGAGCAAGGAGGCTTTACAGACTGCCTTTCTTTAGTCATTCCTG